GAAAAACCAGTTTAGGGCACATTTCAGTATCCTGCAAAGTGTCACAGAGAATTAAAGCTGGAGAGAAGCTCATATGAAAACGTTCATCCAGATGCTCCAAAGCTGAGAAGATGCAAACCACTTGTCTTGTTTCTATTAGCTACTTGGGGCAGTGTTCAGGTCCCATTCCGTGCCTGACATTCCCAAGTCGTGCCAGTTGCACAAAAAGGCAGTGCCCGAGTTCTCAGTGCTTCGTGAAGCTGACTCAGCTTCACCAAAGCAAAACACAGCCTACTCTATCTCTGCACATAAATTAAAGGTAACAAAGAATGTTCAAGAAGTACATTCTGTGCCGAGACTTTATCTGATTAATTTTTTAATCGTATTTCTTTCAGAAGCAATCAACAACTCTGACTGATATAAACCAGGTCTCCTGGTTATTTCTGAAAATGGAGAAGGTCTGCCTACAGTCAGTGATCAAAAACTGAGGGCAGGGATGAGAGAAGAAAAACAAAACCAAGTTGATGGGTAAATGTAACTCTTCTCCTACCTTCTGCCTGCTGTTAAAAAAAGCAAAGATTTTCACAGTTATCTTTACCCTTTCAACTTCTCTCCTTGTTGATCCAGCCATCGAGTAATAATCTCAGGCTTAGGGCACCAGACAGCTCTCCACCAGCAAAGTGCAATGACACAACAGGGTTGAGAATAGAAAACAAGGAGGAGGAAAGTGTGGGGAGCAGTCAGCTAAAAGGGAAAAGAATAATTACAAACCCCTTGTTTTCATCTCTTTACACAGTGAATCTCGGAACGAGAACAGAATCCATGAAAAAGTTGCCACTGCAACAGCATTTTTTCCTAAATTCGCTCCTGCAAGAAAGAGTGGTATCTAAGAGATTCTCTTGAGAACTCTCCTTTGCAAAGCGTTTGAAACTCAGGACAAAGCACCTGCCAGGAGCACTGGTGCCCATCTCCTAATGCAGGCAGCCAAGTGCTCCTCAGGACTTTCAGCAAGAGAGCTGTCAGACTTGAAATCAAGCATCCTCCACCCCACGGTGAAGTCAGGGTGGCAGCGAGCCCAGGGGAAGTCAGGCTTTAAAGAGCCAAGAATACCTTATCTCAAAGGATAAGGTGGAGCTTTACTTTTCCCCTCTTGCAAAATCGGTTATGAAGTAATCTGTTTATGTCACACATACCAGTACTCCTAACAGTGGCACTACAGCAAGATGTCATTACCTTCAAGGAAAGGAACGTGCAGTGCTCGAAATGAACGGGAAGGGCTTTCTCGCGCGGGAGGTTCAGCTTAAGGCAGTGCCTCTTCCCCACAACCCCCCAAGGAAGGCTACATTTTTGCTCTTCCTCTCCTGGCAGAGAGGCCAGACTGAGGTGCCATCTTAGAGCAGCACTAAACAATCTCTGGAACCGGGCCAAGGGGACATACTTGTGTCAGGTATGTACCGTTTCTATTAACATCACAGTTACTCAGCGAGGGCATGACCGACGAGTTGAAAATGTCTCAACATCCTCCTGACCAGAAAAGCCCGTTTTCCTCCCTCCTTAAAAAACACAGCCACCCACTCTCCTGCACACCGCTACACGATCAAATTAGTGGGTGACGTGGTAATTCAGAGTTACTATCTCCATCTGTACAACCCTCTACAGCTCTCATCTCACCATCACTACAACTACCTAAAAGGAGCCTGTAGTGAGGTGGGGGTTGGTCTCTTCTCCCAAGTAACTAGCAGTAGGAAAAGAGGAAAAGGGCTTAAGTTGTGCCACGAGAGGTTTAGATTGCACAGTAGCAAGAATTTCTTCACTGACAGAGTGGTGAGGCATTTGACCAGGCCACCCAGAGAGGTGTTGGAGACACCATCCCTGGAGGGGTTCAAAAAACATGTAGACGTGGCACTTGGGGACATGGTTTAGTGGTCATGGTAGTGTTGGGCTGACAGTTGGACTTGATGATCTTGAAGGTTTTTCCAGCCTTAATGACTCTATGATTCTCACAGACACAACATGAGGTCACCAATAAAATGACACCACGTGGTAAAGAAAGTGCAAAAGAGGGATGCTGAAAACAGCCAACTACAAAATTTTGCCTTCATCGGTTTGATATCAAACCAATTCACAAGCAAAAGGAGTTTGCTTTCTAAGCATGCTCTAGTGTTTTGCAGTAGGGTTTTCCCGTTCTCTCCCTCAAACTCCAGGAGCTGGGGAATCCACACATCCCAGTACCCTAACACTACACTTCCAGCTGTCTTCTGAAAAAGGTTATGATCCCCCTTTCCCTGGCAGAGGAAGAAAGAAACAATCTCTCCTCTTTCCTCAGTTTATTTTTTCTACAAGTTTAGTAAAATTCTGACTAGCTTTAAAGAGCTTTCTGGAGAAATTCAATCAATACTGACTGCTAGGTGCAAAAAATTACTGGGAGAGGAATGGAAAGAAGAGGCAAGAGAGGCAAACAACTTTATGATACATATGTTGTTTCCTCATGAAAACAGGCTAAAAATAAAAACTAGCAGAAAAATAAAACACACCAGGAGGCAACAAACCCTCTTGGTGTTACCTTCTTCTACAGAGCATGCAGCTACTGTAAGCCTTTTAGACAAGCAAGTTACAACCATACCATGACAGTGGCTGAAGTAATGGAGGCCACTTCAGAGCTAACACCTTCGCGTCTCTAGGCAAATGATCTCCTCCTTGAGGAGGAGAAGAACCACTTCACCTGCCATGCACAAATTGAGCAGAGAGACTTGAAAGCATCTGCACCAACTGTCAGCCAAAGCTCTTCAGCCTGATGTTTTAGCCCTCCCATTGGATCCTAAACTGCAAGTAGATCTAAATTGCATGTAAGGCAAGAAATGAGTTGCACTGAGGGTGGTGAGTCACTGGTCCAGGTTCCCCAGAGAGAGGCTGTGGATTCTCCATTCAGGTCAGGTTGGACGGTCTAGTGGAAGGTGTCCCTGAACATGGCAGGGGGATTGGAACTGCGGTCTTCAAAAGTTCCCTTTCATCCTGAACCATTCTGTGAGTCTACAGCTCATTCTATACATGCAGACTGTGACTGTATATGGAGTGCACGTGTGCATATTAGATATACTCATACACTAAATGTACTTACAAACGGGATGCACAGCTGTGTAGGAAGTCAGATGTAGCTGAAGATGTGAATAGAACCACAGACTCATTTAGGTTAGAAATCTTCCCCTCTAAAGCAGGTAAGATCTCCTAAAAGTGCCAAAGCCTTTAATAATTACTTGCGTCATGGAAAACCAAATCTACCAGGTACTCCACGAATTGAAGGCTGTCACACACAGCCTTGGTGACTTAGCTGGGTCACTGCAGAAGCCTGGCGAGAATCGAGGTGCTGCCATCAGCACGACCAGGGGAATTAGCTGGTTACACAGCTCCAAGTCTCTCCAGAGGCTCAGACAAGCAGCTACAGTTCTCAGAGGCCTGTCATGTGCAATTAGAAATACTTGTTTCACCTCCTCTTCTTCTCCTTTCCTCAGAGAGATGAACTGCAACTGGGCTGTTAGCCCAACTAAAACAAATGAGGAGATCTACACTGAAAGATGGAGAAAAACACCCCACATCTACAAACACTACTTAAAGCATTAACCAGGGCACCTGCAGACAGTTGAGAAGACACTCCTGCAGCATTTGCTCTTCACAAACAACCACCTGTATTATACTCCTGGAGCATCACACACGGGCAGTACACACCACAACAGCATGTGGCAACATTTAGGACAGTCAAATAGAAATGTTCTTCCTCTCTCTCTCCTCTCAAATGTTTCTGCTGTGCCAAAGCATAAATTATTCTACAAGCAAAAGGCTAATACAAACCCCTTGTCATTTCAACCCTGCAGACAGCAAATGGCCTAATTAAACCCAACATGATGATTTATAGCTACTGAGCACAGACTCCTTCATACAAGAGACAAGAAGACACAGGGAGTTTTGTGGCAAGAACTGGTTTGTTCTGCTGGAAGTGTTCCAATTCATCTTTTTGCAGATTATTTTCTTTCCTACTGCTCAATCCTTTACCATCCATTACCGGTGACAATGGCATGGCTGTAACCCTACACCTTTCAAAACATTTTAAACTGAGAAACCACAAACATCTGTCTGCAAATAAAGAAATCAGAATAAAACTGCACACCTAAGTCCAGAGGGGAAGGATAGCAGTGTCAGGTGAAGCACTGGCCTCTCCTTTCCCTTCTAGGTAGAGTACATAACTACCATCCTTTCCTCTTTCTCCCCCACTAGTTTATCAAGCACACAGTCAACGAATGCTCATAAAACAAGAGTACTTGCTGCAAATAATTCATTCCTATGAGCTTAACAGGTTTCCACAAGCAAGCAAACTAAACTCCTTCAAATTCCTTTTAGCTTTGGGATTTCACAACATTTTTAGTTAGTAAGAAAACAAAAACACTTTCAAAGGAGTCTTTTCTTAAAAAGTGAGGAAACCCTTTGCTCTGTTACAAAGTTCCTCTTCAAGGGACAAAGCTTTTCTTTATGTCTCCTAAGCTAAAACGATAACCCAGGCAAACATCCCCTTGCTGCCTCACATCCTCCCCAGATGCTCGGTACAAATTCTGCCAGTTTTTCCAGTTTGCTTCTCCATCTGTGACACCTGCCACCCTACTCCAGCACTTCCAAGTGCAGTGGTGATATGCAAGCATTGCCAAAACTAGATTCGTAGAGGAAAGAAAACCAAACAGACCTGATATTTCACAGCCACTGTGCAAGACATGGCAAACGGGACTTTTGGGGGAGGTGGAAATGGATACCAGCAGCATGTAACAACATTCACTCCCCAACTGAAAAAGAGGATTTCTTTAAAAAGTCAGTTGCACCCTGATCGAGCTTATCTGTGTTTCAGGCAATTTTAGGATTAATTACTCGGCAAAACAAAGGTGCCCTTTTTCTCTGCTATCCACCTGTGCCGATCTTACTTCCACACAAATACAGCCTGTGAAAGCACCCTTACTCCCCAGCAGACCATGGTCTCTTACCTTCCACTTCTTCTTCATCGCATACATGTTTAAGGAAGGAAGCCCCTCTATCCAGTACTGCCTCGTCCTCCATCCTATAGTAATAGAAAAGAAAAAACGAATGCTCAGACTTCTCCTGGAGTGAGCTATTTGAACCAGCCCAGGTCCTGGGCAGGTTAACTTGCAAGCTGTTGTTCATGTTCCCGTGGGCACTCCTGTTCTCCTTGCAGTGCCTGCTGTTCCTTCATAGAGCTCCTTTCAAATGGCGTTTGGTTTAAGCTGGCCTCACGTAGCTCCAATTCTAACCTTGAGAGGACATCAGTGGTGACAGGTGTGAGAAACGTAATCCCAGCTACAAGTCTTTGGGTTTTTTTCCTGTTTCTTGTTTGGGTTTTTTTTCCTCCTCTTTTCCTCTTTTTTCTAAAAGGGACATAAAAACACGGAGGCAAGATTGGGACTGTCTATGCAATAGCCAGGAGTCTGTGGAATTCCAGTTTCCCTTGAAAGCAGTTCGAGAAGATGGGGGCCGCAGAACCACGTCCCCACGCCAGCACAGCACGCGTGCTACCCACAGACACACACACGACCGAACGCACGGTGGGAGACCAGCCTCCAGGCAGCCTCTTAATACCAGCAAAGCACACTTGTCTGTTGGGAGGCAAGCTCTGTGTCACATGCTGGCCTTACAGAAATCTGGCATACGAGGATTATCCAGAGACTGAGCTGCAGTAAGTCAGACCATCACAGCACCCATTTATGTGTGTCACCCATTCATTCATCCATTTGGGGACAGCTTTTAGCGGTTGCTTCTTTCCCCTCCCCTTTTCCCTCCACCTCTGATCTGCTTCTCTGTATACAAGAGATTCCTAACTTCACGCCTCTGCCAGAGAAGTTCTCCCATGGTGCTGCCCAGACCTTGTGCTGCTGTATTTCACCCACAAATTAAGATGCTGCACATTTTCTAAGGGTTCATCTGCAAACTCGCTTTTGATGAGTAAATAAAAAAAATTGTAAAATAACAATGGAAAAAAACTCTTAGCTGTGTTCATCTCCTTGCATATCACTTAGAGACTAATACCAAGAAATCAGAATGTCTTGGATATCTACCTTGCATGCCAACAGCTACCTGAACAAAAAACACGACTAAAAAAGCCCCCAGCAGTACAGAAAGTAGTAGGCCATCAGCTGTTCTCTGTCTTTGCCAAGCTTCCCTCCACCTCAGGCACTCCACTCACACATCGTTGGCCTCATCCTTGGCTCTTAGTCTGCAGCTCAGCTCCTGCAAACGGATCTCCAATATGTCACTGATCAGAAACAACAAAGCAAATGGGAATGTATTTCATGGATGTTCTTGCCCATTTGCAATGGTTGTAAAGGCACGTCCCAAGGTTATTTTATTTCACTACTCTTCCCCTAAAGCAGCACAGTAGCTACTTGCTATAAACACAAACATCTGGAACAGCTGGGACTGGATTTCCAGCCCAAACACAAACCACAGGCGCTTTATTACTCCATGAAGCCTGTTCTTACACATTCACACGCAATGTGCCCCAGCGTCCGCCTCTGTGCCCCGAGCACCCATATGCTCAAGCCCCTCGACACTGCCCTTGCTCAAAAACCGGTTCCCGCAGCCAGTTTGTCCACACCACCACCATCGATACAGGAATGCAGAACCTGGGAAGCACTGGTCTCATGGCTGGGGGGAGAGGGAGAAATGAGAAGAAAGGAAGGGAGCAATTTCCACCACCTGCAAGCGAAACAGTGCTGAAAATTCACCGGGTGCCATCCCCATGGTAGAACACCTGCTCGAGTTGCCCACCAGGGCAGGGCATCCTCCCAGCACCAGCCTGCCTGCCGCTGAGCATCCAGAGGCAGGAGGGGACCTCACGCTTGTGTGTTCCCCCCCCAGCAATGGCACCCCTCCTGCCTTGGATTGGCTTGTCACGTTTAATGGCTGTGCTTCTGAGCTGCGCAGGGGCTGGAAAAGTGCTTACGACACACTGCGAGGCTGCCGCTTTCCCCGAAACACGCAGAGCGGATCTGAAGGAGCTGGGGGGCTTAAGGGGCCAGGAATAGAGCTTGGTTCTCCTTGGCACCGTGCCCTGGCACTAATCCACACGAGTTTAGCGATTAGATTCCCAAGCGCCACCTCCCTTGACTTGGTCTTTTCTGCCCTTCTCAGATTACCGCAGGATTTCTTCAGGCCAAAATCTAGCAAGAAAAACATCCTTTATCAATTTGCACGGGGAAAATATTTCAGCTCCCTGGAAGTTTTCAAGTAATGTAAAATGGGAGTCAGAGAAATTGAAAAACAAACAAAAAAAATCATGTGAAACAACAAGGAAATCTTCTCTTGGGTCTTACCCAGCAGAATTCTGTAGGGGAAGCACTGTAGCAAGACAAGGTATTTTCACCATCTCATGAAAGAGACATATGCAGTGGATAGAAGGAAGGGTGGAAATTGGTTTAGGGCCTCTGAACAGAAACATGCCTTAGTTCAAGGTTAGTTTACCAGCTCCTTGTAGTAAGGTAAGAGCACAAGATATTCAGACACTTTTTATCCAGATCTACAGCCTCATTACTGCTGCTGAAAACAGACTTTTAAAATGAATTAAAAACCACTGGGTTTCTATTTTCAGGGTCTAGATCTGAGCAAGTCATGTACTCTGACAGAATAAACTGAAGTGAAAAAATATGAGCTGCTTGAGTCATTGGCCTCTCTGGGTAGATAATTAGATTGGTACCAAACATTTTTAGAAATGACATTATGTGTCAACAGGATTTTAACAAGAGTCACACGCAGCCTATCCACCACAGCATGCAACTCAAACCTCAATGTGCAGACTGCTCGCAGACCACAGCTCACAGACACATTCTGCCAGGCTACTCATAAAGAGCAAGGCAAATTTAATACTAGCAGGGATCCCGGACTTCACAATGGAGAGAAAAGTCGGTATCAGAAGGGCCAAAGTGAGGGAAATGAAGTGCCACAAAGCAGAAAAGCAGATGAGAAGTCTGATCTTCGCAGGGAGATGGGAGTGCTGCCACCACCCGGCTGCCTGGCCCCCGGCTCAGCAACACCAGCGCTCGTTACAGCTTGGGAATCTACGGCTGGAGAAGAGGGCAACCAGTGTTCGGTGTAAATAAAGCAGAAGGGCCGATGTAATGACATGAGCTGCTGCACGGAGGTGCAACTTTCAGGTGAATAAACACATAACGTCACTGGGGAGCAAGAAACCGGAGCTACTACTTGCTGATAAGCTTTTACAATTCTGCCCATTTCAAATGTCTTTTGCAATCAGGAAGAAACTCCAGCAAAGCAGACTGAGCAAAGGGAAAAACCAAACACATGGAGCCAGCCCTGAAACTGAAATGGGGAGCATAACGCAGAGCCTGTGTGAAAGTCACATGTAAAGCAATCCCACTGCAACCAGCTGGGGCGCAGAGCACGTCAGCAGCTTCAGGGAGTGAGGACTGCGAACATCACAGAGCAGCAAAGCTTGCCGGCCCTGGCAGCAGGGCTCCAAAAGGGACTGGGTCATCTCAAAATGTGCCTGCCCAGCCCCACAGCATGGCAGCTCCTGCAGGCAGACGTGGGGAAGCTGTCCACCTTCATGGGAAAGGCAAGAGAAAGATCTTTTCTGAGCACGCAGAACTGACCGCCCTCGCCTGCTTCTTGGAGCCTGGCATCCTTCACCTGTCAGGAGCTTTTCCTCAGAAAGCTGCTACCCATCAAGTGGAGTGGATGGGGATGCTGGGGAAGAGGTGACAAGCGCACCAGGCGTCGCTGGCTAAGACGTTCAGCCGGTCCCACAGTCCCGCAAGGATTACCCCCGGATCCACACTCGCACCATTCCACCTCACCGCTTGCCTCCCACACATACAACGGGGCAGCACGCAAGTCATTTTTCCTCTTGTAGGTTGAAAAATAGTTTTCAGCTGAGGAGACTGTACAGCTCCCAGCAGAACAGACTGCCTCTGACAGCCTGATGTGTTTGGACACTCCAATGCCCACTACATCAAGGACTCCTGTCCCTCTGTGAATCCCCCTGCACTGCCAGAACGAGCGCGGAGTGACCCGTGCCATACCCATCAGGTGCATCTCCGCTGCTGGCAGTCACAACCAGAGCTTGCAAAAGGAAACGTGACACGGCTTGCAAGGAACAGCCGCAGGTACAACCACAGCTCCACTCCACACTGCTCCCCGTGAGTGTAAGAAGCCTGCTCGTGACAACCAAGCTGGCATTCAGGGTCCTTTACAGCACTGAGACGTCCTCCACCACCAATGTTACTTGTGACAAGCAGCATCATTCAACCTTCAACAACAAGTGAAACAACGCAACCACCAGCTAGACTTGGAGTCACCACAGGCTTCCCTGTCAGTGACAGCCAGTGACTTCACCAAGCTACCCAAGTTAGATGCCAAGTATGTATGTATGCACGTATCCAAAAGATAATGAATCAATAAGCTAAACAGGCTGCAGAGAGGCAGAGAAGACATTATTTCTTTCCCCTGCAACCTGTGAAGCATTCAGATACTGTGATGACAGCAGCCAAGTAAACAGGAAACTAGAAAGGAGACTTAGTCCCAGTTGATGCTCTCACAGCTCATATGCAAATGGTTGAATAAACAGACATAATACGACCAATTCCTTTTTAGGGGCTAGATGCATTTTGGTTTTCTCATGTACTTGCATATGGGCTCTATTAGAAAGAAAAAAAAGCGCTTCTGACTATCATCAGCATGGTCTGGTTGATGCACTTTTAGAACACATTGCCAAATTTATCTTGGATGCATTTCCCCCTGTCAGCTCTAGAAGGGCATTTATTTACATGCTTTCTCAGCAAAAGGTTGTACTCACCACGAGGAGAGGAGGACAGAAGCCTCTGCTTGCTGCAGAAAGAACTTGTACTATACTACTTTTAAATCCAGACATAAACCCAGCTTCTTTTAAAACAAACTCTTGATAACCAGCAAGGAACTAACACTCAAGGTGACTGCTTTGCACAAAGCAGTTGAGCAGAGCAGATGCACAAAGACTCATCTCAGCTCTTCCCCCTCCTGCAGAGTTCTGCTCTGAATGGAGAACTCCTCTCTCCAGAGCAACACCTGTACAGAACCGTGAGACAACCACAGGCACTACTAGACTATAATCTGGAAATGCAAGCGAGGTGCTAAAGCAGCCTTTTTTCTGACAATGCAGGACACATAGGAAAAGGGTGGAACATACACAACCTCATAGGAGTGTTGACCATTTGTTTTGGGCTGTGTTTTTCCTTTTTATTGTACCAATTCCTACTTTCTAGTTTAAATGGATCACCAGCATGTGTTAGACCATGATGCACACAACACACTCGACGATTGATTGCACATGCTGTAGTGAAAAGAGGAGGCAAAACGTAAGAAAGCTTTGCAAGTTGACCATCTTATTACCAGCTTACAAGCAACTGCACGTTCTGGATTACTTGTCTTGCCTTGCTTATGCCTCTCAAGCATGACAGTGATGTAAGCCTTTCATCAGCTGACGCTGAAGGATGCTTGCTAAAGGGGCTTTGGAGAAAGGACCCTCCCTCAAGGTCCTTTCATGGAGGTCCACCTCAGTCAGAGCTCTGACACGGTGGCATGCACAGGAAACAAGCCACTGGCCCAAGAGGGGCCAGGTGAGACAAGCACAGCCAGACAAACACAGGCTACTGGGCACCTCTGATCGATCAGGCAGCACCAGTGGGATACAAACCTCTATGCGGGTTATTTGCTTGAAATGTCTCAGTGACATGGACTTTACCCCAGAAAATAAAGCCCATTTGTTCAGTACTACTGTGTCATGCATTTAGATTTAGCATCTAGACATTTCGCATGTCCTTTACATTCCTAAAAGTGGTTTTCATATTCATGAGACATTTTTTAAAACCAGGGAATAGAGGAGGGAGGGACTTTGGTTTGGTTTATAGTAAATTCCCAATTAAGTCATCTCATTGTTACGTGAAGTGCTTCACTCTACAGAGGTCTTTTCAGGGATTGAAACTAAGCCCCATTACAGGACTCAAACAGGAGCCTCAGTTCTTGACTAAATCTTGTTTTCAAGAACTTTTTCTGACTGGAACACCAAGAACTCCAAAGGTTTATGTCAGCTCACAGGTGAAGGCTGTGAGAGCACCTTCCTGAAACCAAGGTAAAAATTATTTGAGTTTGTTTTGACAAAATAAGTTATATCCTTTGGATTTCAGTCTAAATCTCTGACAGCTTCAGAAGAACTCTTCAGCTAGGATACATTCCAAGAATGAAACAACTACTAAGAAAAATAATTAGGTGTGAATGAAATGGAAGCTTTTTTCTGCACAAACAAGAAAGTAACTTTATCAAAACACAGGGAACTACAAGGCGGGACATTGGCACTGGACCTTGGGGTAGGTGTAGCAGTTGAAGCCATTGTTTTATTATGTTTAGATTGGTTACCATAAAATGACACAACTCGGGTTTGTTATCATTTCCTTCTCTCAAAAGAAACCATGGAGCTGTAACTGCAGACAAACCAGCATGCAGAAGTCCACATTTCATTCAAGCTTCATGTGACAATCATAGCACCTCAGTTCAAGCCCTCTCTGCAGCAGAGCAAGGTGGACCTCTACAGCTGAGCACCCACTTCCTGACACCTTCCACATATATCTGCTGTATTTAATGGAGCTACAGGCAGGAGAGGGTATAGAGACACTCTGAAAGGAATTCAAGACTGTACTTACGTAGGAGCTTTATGAGATGAGCAAGTCGGCAGGAAGAAGTGATTTTGGACTGCAAATACTATGAACGTATCTGTTTGAGGCTAACACAAACCAGACACTTCTGTAGCTCAGTTTTCAGTAAAGCAGAACATATAAATCACAAAAATGTTTCCTTTAGAGGCAGAATGGTGTCAGGTTTGAAACTCCCATGCTGTACTGGACTCTTCCTAAAAATTTTTATTTCCAGAGAGTTTGTGGGATCTGAGTTTTGGTTTTGCTATTATATACTGTTACAATGTCATGTCCTGCAGTATTTTTGTCAGAGCTTTATGTATTGCAGGCAACTTCTTACTGGACTGTTTCACACATCCAATTGGCAATCCCTACACTTTTTTTTTTTTTTTCAGCATTGCACACTAATGGAAAAAAGAAAAGAGTTCAATTTAGGCATGAAGAAGTTCCTAAAATATCCCCCCACCTGCTTCAAAACACATGTTTGGAAAGAAAAAAAAAACTTAGGAAGAGTTCAACAATGGAAAAGAGGCAGGAGGAGAGAGAGCATTTAAGGAGCAGACTGAACAAGCAGGCTAACATGAAAAGATGACTACAAGTCATACAGCAAATGTTTGCCCCTCTTAAAAAAAATAAGGCGGCACACTACAGATTTATAATTTAGCACATGACTTGAGGCTCAATAAACCTTAGATGAAACTGCTCCAGAGGGCTGATTTACGAGAGCATTTTCATGTGCTCTTCAACGAAACCCCTGTCTACTGAAAAACAACCCTGTTTTACGATGGAGTTGCTCTCTGTTCAAGCCCTATGTAAGAGCACTTCTGGAGAAATCTGTGCCAAGGCAGATTGTATCATGAGACCAGGTATCACAGACTAACAACTGCCAGCAGTATTATAAGCATGTCTTTGACATCAGCTCAGCACTCAGCTTTAAAGTGAGTACAAGACTTTAGAAGTACATAGCAGACAGGGGATCTGTATATGCCCATATATAAACATACACAGATGTATAAGCCTAGACAAGGAAACAGCAGCTGTGGGAAATCTTGCCAGCATCTGCTGAACATCTCCCCCAGAGTCTCAAGAAGCAAGGTATGGGTAGCATGGACCTGACACAGCATTTCCTACCCACAGACAAGGATGTTGAAGTGGGTGCCTCAGCCTTGCCAGGCTATCTTTTATAAAGAAAAGGGTTATCTGAAAAGGTTTGCTTAAGTTTAAGTTGCTCGAGTTGCTCGGTTTAAGTCCATTTCCCACTTTGAAAAAGCACAGGCAGTGTGTACAGTGTGGGGTGGGGCAGCACACCCAGTGGCACCAGTAACCCAGATCTGGGTTTCTCCTGAGAGAAAAAAATCCTGCACCCTCATTCCCAGCAAGCAGCTGCTGCACTCGTCCTCCTGTGTAGCTGTTTGGGGGGGAAGTCTCCTCCCCATAGCAATAACCCCCAGCACACAGAATACCCCCAAGAACACAAAAATGTGCAAGACTGGCTTGTATCTTAGTTTCAGTTCTGTAATTATGGTTTGGAACTTTTCCCTTCCTTCAGGCTTCATACTTTCAAGTGCCCAACCCCTAGAGCTGCTCATTTTCCTCCACATCACCTTCCCAAGCATCTCTGAGATGCTGAAGTCATTCGAAAAGCATCACAAAACTCTGGGCTACCAACACGAACGGCAAGATGGAGACAGGCCAGGCCCAGTCAAGCAGGTGCTACAGAATGTGTGCTGGCTTCCTGCTGGGAGGAAGGCAGGCAAGACCCGATCCAGGACAAAGCTCCACCGGCAGCGGCCGAAAGCCTGGTTGTATAAAACGTTCTGGGCATGTCTGAAGCAGCCAAGGGAGCTAATGCACTTTCAGCACTTCCCAGAGTGCAGTCACAGCATTTCTGATCCAATTCTCAGCATTCTGAAGCGAGAAGTGGTTTCACGATATGCTGGTTTCAAAAACATAATCCAGCATAAAGGATATTTTTAACGTGAATGATTGCAGTAATCTGCTTCAACACTCAAGCTCAAGCAGAGTCCACGTGGCCCAGCTGAGCAGCACAGAATGGCGTTACGTGAGCAGGAGCTTCCTGAATCGCCAAAATCCCCATGCAACAACCGTGTGTGTTGTCCAGCTGTAGTCACCCCAGCCAAACAGGGTATGTGTCAGCACCCACACATAATCCAGGCAGAGGAAAGACAACTTCTCCAAAAGTACTAAGGCAAGCAAGATAACCAGTGGGCTTTCAGAGACTCCAGTGCTCCAAGTTAACCTCACCCTCACCTGAGTGACACCTGCTTGTCTACAAGACTTTGTAGCGACTGTTCCTCAGGGGAGAGGAGACAAAGTCTCTTCTGAATGTGCTCACGGGCATAGGTCCCACTGCATGCATAAAACGCTTATTTAATAATTAAAATCATCAATCAAAACAAATGCAGACCTGATAGCTAGGAATGCAAACAGCCAATTTTCAGCTAAATGCCTCCACCAGCTGCATTGGGAGGGCAAAAAAACCCCCACTCAAAACCTAACTATAGAAAACAAAACACAAACCCACAAATCAGGACAAGTTTACTGAAGATGACAAAACAACACTTCCAGAGAAAAAAGGTGAGAGGGGAGAGAAATTCAAACCCAAATTATTTTGAACCCATCTGAGAACACACTGAACTAAAGAAGAATTTGATCACTTCTACCAGTTTAAGCTCCAGTCAGAACAGCAGCAGAGAGTCAGTCATAGCCCACAGCACCATGACCCCAAGGAGCTTTCTGTGTCTTGAGGGCACCGATTGCTCAGCAAACCCCTGACTGCACCAGCACAAGCCCCAGAACCCAAAGGATGTAGATCCCTGAGGAACGACACCCAGGAGGATCATTCAGCAGAAGCATGACTGCAGGTGACAACTCCTTGCCGCATGGGCACAGCAGCCACACAATCCTGCTCAAGGAGAGCAGTCTGTGAGGCCTTCTGGGGGCTGCCGTCAGGCTGCTGGGATGAAATCACCTACGTTTCATCCCTGGCTATCACTAGCCCACACTAGCTGGCTAGCTACGTGTAGTTTTCTGCTACTCAAAATTTCATGTCGTGTTATCAGAGGGGCAGGTTCATGGGTGGTTTTGCCAATATAATCAAAGAAAATAGCTGTCATGGAGCACCGAGGGTCACTGGGATAAACACAGTTCCAGGGAACCTCACCACCACAGCCCCTGGCCTCACAAAAGAGCTCATCCACACATTTGCTCCCTTGACAGCCCCTGCAAGGAGAGCAAAGGGAGATTTTGCACACCTGACAATGAAACTCCGTGCAGCGGGCGGGAGCAGGTCCCTGCTGAGCACTCCACCAACAGACCGACAAGCATTGCGCACTGCGGTGACCCACTTACCACCTTGACCTCGACGGGTGGTGCCAGTGAAGTGCAGGCCAAGCCCATGATCTTTCAACTCAGACCTGCAGACTATCAATTAGCCCTTAATAAGAGCCTGGCCCAGAGGAGGCAGGGGCACATGACTGCGTTTTTGCTGCATTAGTCAGCAAACGCAGCGATACGGGTTCCTCTGCCACCACGACACCAGGTTCAACACAAGGAACATGACGCAGCACAAAAAGCAGAGTGGTACAAGTGCACGACGCGTGATCCTGCATAAGGTCAATGCATTTAGAAGGGTTAAGCTCACTGGACCAGCAACAGGAGTATGCTGCTGGACCGGCACTTTGCTTCATGGGAGAGTCATGCTCTTCACTTGCTTCTAGGTGCCCTGAAGCTGGATTTACTGTATCCTCCAACCACAGCCAAGAGCTCATAGCTGAACTGCTGAGCAGGCAACTCCCAAGTTTTAACAAGACTGTCCTCTAGATGACATCCATTTAAGGGCAGCCCAAAATAGACTTACTTGTATCAGCCTAAAACAAGACGGAGAACAAAACAATAACCCAAGAGCTGAAAAGTAGTTTCTTGCCAGTAAGTGTTCATAGTTGCTTCTTGAGAACTCCTTTCTAGTGAACCACTGCCACAGAAGAACAACTTGTGGGAAAAAAAACTGGCAGAAGCACAGCAATGCTGATAAGCAGCACTGCTGCAGGAAGCCCTGGGTCCTCCAGAATAACCTAAAAACTTGTGTAATGACTACCAAGCTTGTGCAAAGGACCAAGCGTATTTCTGGAAGAGAAGAGAAAGCGGAACTTTAGCACAGGTAATTATTTTGGACAGTGTCTGAAAAGCCTCATTTGATCTAGAAATGGACCGGGGGGGGTGGGAGGGAGCAATGACTCTTCTGGATAAAGGTGGCCTAAAAAAAAGACCACTTGCATCTTCCCTTACCAAAGGAAGGCCACTCACATTACTCAGACTCCTGTAGCACTTTTTTTTTTTTGGAGCAAGTCTGTCTCTTGAATGAGTTCCTCTCCCTGTGTCAGTGGCTGACTCCTTCTGACTCCAATAACACAACAGAACACTAGTCCATAAACATCAACTCCCCTGACATCCCTAAAATGTCTTCTTCAGAAAGCAGAGACTTCCTAGTTCCTGCACAACTCTGCCCTTTGTCCATGAGGATTTCAAGCCATGGAAACACAAGCAAGATATATTAAAAATATTTTATAGCTCCCTCATTTTCTTTGCTCTGCTTCCTGAGTTCTGTGAAGTAACAGTTCCTACTTCTGCTTTATGAACTATAAACTCAAAAGTATCTTCAAGAGCCTCAGTTAATGTTAACACACTCCACGTGATATACAGCCTACAATGAAACAACATGCACCTTGATTTTAGGTAGACCGTGAAAATTAGTGTTCAGTGCCCATGAGAGGCAAGTTAGGAGGTAACAGTCCAGGAACTGCGTGCTGAGATCTGATATGCAAGCACACTGAACCAGACTTACCTGCTCACACTGACCACTCACTGTCTCCTTTCACCCTCTTTTTCACATGCATCTGCCTAAAAAAAACTTGGAGGCAGCCATTTCTTGGGGAAGAAACCACAGAAAAACAACTTTCTGTAACAGCTGGTTTGCTTTGGTAATATATAGCCACAAAAGCACAACAGGATAAAGCAACTGACACTCCTTTTTAGGCTGGCAGGGCTACGGAAATGTTCTAATGACCTCCTGACTTTTTCAAGAAAAAATAAATCAAGGATTCAAAGCGGTTCTGCCGTTTGGCGTATCAGATGTGGTCACAAATCAAGCCAGCACATCTGGGGATGGAGAGGACAACAAGAGGCAATATGCATGGTCAGCATTCACTGGGCAGAACCTACCCAACTTGGTGAGCACCTGACCTCTCTGTGGCTGTCCCAGTCCACCCCCAACTTGAGGGAAACCCTACCGACCAGTACTCCTCGCTACTGTACTTACACCAGCCTTTGCCTGCGGATTCCACGAGTCATCTCCGTTCCAAGCAAGTGCACCACAGTG